TTTTGGGGGGGGGGGGGGGGGGCGCACGGTTGAGCATGGGTGCAGGGCGGCGGCGGCGGCAGCGGGAGGTGCCCCCATGGCGGGCACAAACGCGTGGTTGAGGCCGCATGCACAACTGATGACGGACACCTCTCAACACACATCCAACCCGCCCAGCTGCGCAGGAACCACTATCTGGCTAATCAAATGCTGCTGCCAGCATCGTGGCGTGCGCTGCCGCAGTCGCGGGGCAGCACAGCACCTGAGCACCACGCCGGGGAAATCCTGCTCCTTGGAGGGGTTCCACTTGCTGGGGATCAGCACCGCGAAGCCATCACCAGCGTAAGGGATGAAGCCTGCAGGCCGGGTCGCACCCAGGTACTAGGCGCTGGCATGTTCCGGATTGCGAGGCAGGACTGACACCGAGCGGGAGCGCAGCGCACCAGACTTGTTGGTGATGGAGCCGGCAAACACTCGAGCAGCATCGCCATACGCGGCCTCAGATGGGGCGGCGGTGGAGATGGCGGCGGCGGCAGCCAGGCCTCCCAGCACCGCACGGCGGTCGACCTGCGGGGAAGGGAAGGCGCAGGCGACGACCGTGAGGCGGCTGCAGGGGCCCGCTGGTAGAAGCCCCATTGCACTCGGGGTGCCGTCACGTTGCTGCTCCGCAGCGGGAGGGGTGTAGCGCCTGGCGATCGTAGCTCAAGGCAGCGATAGAGCCAGCGGGTCAGCAGGATATGGCCGAACTCGCCCTGCGCAGCTCAAGGTCTTGTCAGGACGCTCACCTCCTGCTTCTGGGAGCGCACCACCACAGCCGCGCGCTGAGCACCGCGAGTGTTGGGCTTGGAGGTCGCAATCGGGGCGCCCGCCACGGTAGCCTTGCTGCTCAGCGCCTGCATTGTGTGTGATTGACCTGAAGACCGAGAGGGGACACTCCACACAAGCCAATGGAGTGGTAGGGGGCCGCCCGCTGCCAAATCCTGGAGGGTGAGAGCAAGTTGCCAGGGTCGCACGGGGGAGGTCGCGCGATCGCGAGCCCCTCTCCCCCGGGGGGACCCGGAGATTGTTTGTTAGCACAGAGGACTCGACCAGGAGCCAGCGTGCAACATCGGTGCTCCAGGGGGGGATGCGATGCCCAACAACTTGCTTTGTTTAAAGCTGGCGAGTGGGAGCAGCAAACATCAATTGGGAGCCGTAAACAGCAGCAGCACAATAAACGCAGTAGGAAGGGGAACGAGGCAGCCGAGTTGGGACGGGTGGGCGGGGGCCGTTGGGACCTTCGGGCGGCAAGAGGTCCCAGGGGCCTGGCGGCATTGCCGCACAGCCCTTTGGCCGTGTGGGGTTGCTGGAAAGCCCACGCCAGCCGTTAACGAGCGCTGCCGCCACAGACGCTGTGATCCACAGCAGATGCTGTGATTGACGTATGGTCGTGTCCATGAAGGACCTGCAGCAGCGAGTGCAGTGCTGCAGCACCGGCCTCCGAGACATCAACCGTGTGGTGAAGTTGCATCATGGTGCTGCTTTCCAGTCTGGCCGGGGTCGCTGCATGCCATACACCCACGCCTGCAAGCACACCAGTGGCAGGCGTAGCCATAGCCAGGGTCGTTCTATGCAATGCATGCGAGCGGGCATGGCAAACGCATCCCCGCAGCTGCGACAACAAAGTGGTTGATAAGCGCCGGTTGACAAGCGCCAACAGCAGCAGGCTGCATCATACAGCAGAGGCAGCCCCCAGCAGCGGCAGGACAACTGTGCGACCCTGCGCCGCATGGCCCAGCGTGCAACACACCTCGTCCACGGCGCGTTGTAGCGCCTTGTTCTTCACGTTGGCGTGCTTACTATAATCTGCAGCATGATGAGAGGAGGTGTGAAGTGAGGCATTGCTCATAACATGCACGCTTATGCGCCCGATGGGCGCCGAAAACTGTGGGCAAAGCTAATTGGCGTTGCTGGCTGCGGACGGGCAGCACGCAGCCGCCAGGTGAAAGAGCGCTGTCAAGAGCGCGGCAGCTGTTTGTTAAGCTTTCCAAGGTCCCCGGAAAGTGACCACCATGAGGCGAAGCCAGCACGCTATGCACGAGCGGCTGACGCCGCCGGGGGCATCGCCCCCCCAAAAGAGAGAGCGCATCGTAGCCAAGCCCGGCGTTTGACACATGCGACGCCGGGCCTAACAATGATGGGCACATCAACGTTACGAGCCAGCCAAGTGGAATTTAAGCTAGGCTGGAGTTCACTCGCGCTGCGCTGAACACACCGCCGGGCATGGATGCTGCCAGCGAAATTGCTGCTCGCCACTCACCCGGATGGATTTCCGTGAATGGTTTGAGTGCTGAGGCTGGCAGCCAATTGTAATCATTGGAACCTGCAAACAGAGGGAGGCATTGCAGGTGCCGGCGCAGATAGGCAGGGTGCCAGGGAGAAGTCTGTGCCTCCTGCCAAGCATGCCATCTGACAAATACTCACCATAGAACACGCAAAACAGGTCGGAAGAGGAGTGCTTGGGCTTGATGTGATCTTCGGTGCTGGGGCGTTGCAGCTGGGCAGGCCACCACGGATAGTTGCCAATCTTGGCCCACACCACATCGCCTGGCCTAAATTGCGGAGAGCCAGCCGGTATGCCGGGCAGGCCGGCGCCAGCCGCAGTGGAACCTGCGGTGCCGCCAGACTTCCGCTGTCCTGAGGTGCCAGGTTTGGTGCTGGCCTGCTTGGGCTTGGCAGCGCCACTGCTACCACCAGACTGCTTCGGCCGGGAGGCACCCACAGACTTTCGGCCGACGGAACCAGCGAGCGCACCATTGGCCAACTGCTGGCGCTGCTGAAGGCTGCGAGGCGCGCCGGGCATTGGCCGGATCTGCTGCAGTGCCTCGCCAGGCCGTGCCAGGCTTGGCACGACTAAGCTGGGAGTGCCAGCGAAGGACTGCCGCTGGGGGCCAGCGCTGGCGCTGCCACCTTCTGCTGCACCGTTAGCCTTCTTGCGTTGGCCCGCTTCGCCGGAATGGCCGGCCGGCCGCTTTCTGCTGCTGGCATTGTCAGTCATGCCGGCGCTGCCACCAGGGGCTAGCGGTGGCGCTAGAACTCGCGCCTGTTGGCTGCTGCCAGCAGGGGCTGGAACATTCAGCTGGGACCCCACCTGCTGAGGCCCCGGCTGCTGCAGCCGCCACGGCGCCAGGGGCTTCACTGTTGCTGCATGCGAACGCAGCAGCTGAGGTCCGAGGTCCTCTACTTCCTGTGCACTCGCTGCTATTTGCTGAATTTGATCGGGCTGCTTGCCTGGAGGCTGCCTGTGCACACTCTTGGGCCGGGTTGCTTCTGCATCTGCACCGCCCAGGTGCCCCATGTGCAGCTGCGCATGCTGCGATGCTTGGCCTTCTCGCTGTTCCTGCTGCTGTTGCTCCTCCTCCTGCTGCTGCCCAAAGGCCGGATCATCTGGGTGAGGCTGCTTGCCTGGCGGCTGCGCGAGCACGCTCCTAGGGTTAGCGGCCTCAAGTTCAGCACCAGTCCCAGCATAGGGGCCATCTGCTCTACCCTCTCTGGCTCCAGCACGCGGCTGCTGCGGCTGCAGCTGTGCCCGCACTGACTCCGCCTCTGGCGTCTGGTCATCAGGGTACGGGTGCTTGCCTGGCGGCTGGATGTGCACACTGCGCAGCCCTTTCATCGCAGGCAGCACCGATTCCCCTCTTGCCGCTGCCACCACCTTTGGGGATGCCTCAGCTGAGCTGGGGCTGAAGGGGCGGCCCGGCGAATCCGACAGCGCGGCACCGCCGCCTGCAGCCAAAGGGCGGCAGCCAGTTTGAAGCGCGCGAGGCCGCTGGTGTTGCCTTGCCAGCCAGTTGGAGAAAAGATGAATGCAACAGCAAGAATGGGATGTTGAGCATGGACATTTGAAGATGTTGTGCCGTATTCTGTTACTGCCTACCCGGGGACAATGCGGCCACTTCCTGCTGCTCGCTGCCGCCGTCTTGCCTCCATGAACCTCCCGGCAGCCTGCCCCCTGCGCCGTGCAGCAGGGCAAGGTGGCTGCCCTCCCGTCAGCGGCGGTGAAGCGGGCACCCCCTTGCTGCCGCTAGTGACGACGCAGCGCCGCCCGCCTGCCGCTCCGTGAACCATCATTGGTGTCCATGCCTGCAACGTGACCCTCCCCGAGCAGCAAGCGTGCCTTACCCGAACCCCCGAGCAGGTGCTTGAGTGAGCCCCTGAACACCAGTTTCAGCCCAGGTTGGCCCGTGCCTGCACAGCTTGAGTACATGGTGCAAACTTCGCGCGCAGGGGATCGGGAAAGTAGGTGGGCGGGACCCCCACGGGGCCCCACAGAAACCGGTGCGCACCCTCGGTCGTTGCCTTCAATGACAGGTCTGGCTGCAGCTGGGGGTCCATGGGGTCTAGCGAGAGTCCCCCCAAGGTGCTCCTGGGCAGCTGGACGCACTCCGGGTGTGCCACACGTGGCGTGCCGCCATGCCGGACTGCACAAAACACAGATTGCCTGTTAGGACAGACTCCACGATCAAGACTGGCGGACTGCGGTACAGCCACGAGGGCGCGAGTACTTTTCATCGCCTTTTTACGCGCCGAATGTGCTGCCCCAATGTAGTCTTCAACAATGGACGCGTTGCGGTTCTGTGCAGAGTGCCTCTCTGTGGCCCTCGAGTGCTGTCTTCAGGTGGGGCGCCACATGCCGTTGCCTGTTCATGTCCTCCTGCACTGCGGCCTGATCCGCAGAAACCTCCCGCCCCAAGCAGAAGCTGTGGATGCGGTCCCTGCCCAGCCTCGACTTGATTGGTGGGCCCGCGGAGGGCCAAATGGTGGTGGTCACCGGCCCCACCAGCGGCATCGGCAAAGAAACGGCTGCAGCCCTGGCTGCCAGGGGCGCTCACGGTGGGTGCGCCATATTGGTTGGGTTGTCGGCGCGAGTCGCGCTACGCTTGCCGGGCCTTCTTCCGCTGTTTGCCACCACGCCTGCCGGTCATTAGAGCTTTGTGGGGTTGGCAGCGGTCTCCTTTGTGGACCACGGGCACCATCTCATCTAATGCAACAGCTCGTGCCTTTCCCCCTATGCAGTCATCTTGGCCTGCCGGAGCGTGGCCAGAGGGCAGGCGCTTAAGAAAGAGCTGGAGGACCAGGCCGACGCTGCTGGCCAACCGCAGCCACGCCTGGAGGTGGGATGCGCAGCTTGTGTTGCGCTGTGGCGTGGAGTGACCTAACGAGTATTAAACGAGGTGGCGAGACCTTGTTCTTGACGTCCTGCTGCGGTGCAGGTAATGGAGCTGGATCTGTCCTCCCTGCGGTCAGTGCGCAAATTCGCAGCGGCCTGGCGGCAACGCCGCCTGCCACTGCAATGCCTGATCAACAATGCTGGCGTGTTTGCGATGGGGGGCGCTCGGGAGCTGACGCCTGATGGCTATGAGGCTCACCTGGGCACTAACCACCTGGGCCACTTCCTCCTCACCATGTTGCTGCTGCCGGGCCTCCAGCAGGCTGCAGAAGAGGTGAGCTGCAACGCAAGCCGGCAATGCAGCTTGCCTAGCGCGGCACGGCTGTGGAGGGTGCTTTGGAGCTTTGCGGCAAATTCGGCGAGCGTGGCATGTGCGCGATGCCGCTCTGCAGCGTTACCGTCCAGCAGTGCGGCAACTGCTAGCTGCAGCTTACAGCAACACGCCCCCTCGAGTGCGTTCTCAACTCCCTTGTTGCTGCTCCCACTTGCGGCGCAGACAGGGCGCCCGGGCCGCGTAGTGCACGTCTCCTCCAAGCTTCACTTCATGGGCTCGCTGCGCCAACAAGACATGAACCTATCGACTGGTTACACCTCGCTGGCGGCATATGGCCAGAGCAAGCTGGCTCAGGTGGGAGTGTTTCTGCTGTGATGTTTGCATTGCTGATCTTGCTCACCCCTTGTCCTCGCCGCCACGCCACTTCAGGTGCTGTTTGCTTGGGAGCTGCAACGGCGCACGGGCGGGCGGGTGGTGTCCGTGGCACTGCACCCTGGGGAGGTGATGACGGAGGTGGTACGCAGCCTGCCGGGCCCCATGCGTTGGGCATATCGCCTCCTGCTGCAGACCATTCTGCTCACGCCGGCACAAGGTTGGTGGTGGTGCGGTGAGGGTCTGGCAGATCGGCCATCTCATGTTGATGGCCTCTGGTGGCCGCCCGGCTGGGAGGTCAATGGCTGCTCGCCTTCAGACACCCCCGGCTCTGCCGGAAAGGATGATTAGAATTGTAACGACCAATGTCTTGCATCACCCACCCTCGTTTCTTCTCTGCCAAATATTGATATACAGGCGCTCGGTGCAGCGTGTACTGTGCCACTAGCCCCGACCTGGACCGTCCCCAGTTCCCAGGCCATTACTACTTTGACTCCAATTGCACTCCCATCACACCAAGCAGGTGGATGAGGCGGGCCTCTGGTGCCCCACTAGCATGCACACCATGCCCCACTGCAGTCAACCGCATCTGGGAGGTGCTTGAACCTAAGAGCTTTTGCGACCCTCTGACGCACGCGGTTCCATTTGCCTTCGTTGGCTGGCTTGCAGGCAGGCTCAGAACCCACAACTGGCTGCCTGGCTGTGGCAATGGAGCGCCGCCGCTGCGGGATTGCAGCCGGCTGATGATCTGCCACCACCAGCGAAGGAGGCAGCTTGCTAATCAGCGTGCATGCATGTCGCAACATGTAATTTTGTGGCACAAACTTTTTGATTCTTTGATTCCTACGTTGCAACCACAGCCAATGGGCTCCAAGTGAGTGCAACAAAGAACAGCATAGAAAAGCACCTTGCCTTCAACTCGCCAGAATCGCTCCCCCCAGCATAGCCCTGCAAGTTCCTCCGCAGTCCCGCCACGCCCTGGTTTGAGCACGCCAGACCCTTAGCTCCCGCCAGAGCTCCCGCCTCGCCATCCACAGTGAAAGCGGTATTAAGCGCCAACGGCTCGAATGGAAAGGATACCATCCACCCCATGGGTGGGCAGCAGCCTCCCTCCAGCCCTTCCAACTCGAGGAAATAACAAGCGCACAAACACAGCCCGCGGCGCCAGCCCAATCGCCAGCGTCGGGGTCTGCAGGCAGGCAGCACAGGCTACTGGAAGGAGCTCGGGCATCAAGCAACTTGCAGAGTCAGGGGCTGACATTTATGTACAACAGCCAGGTGGGTCAGTCCTCTCTCTGCAGCCGGCGGTGGTATCACGGCACAGCTCGGTTCAGGTGCTTCTACTGCTGCAGCTGGAAGCATCCTTCTTTGTGCAGCAGCTGCGGTAGTGCTTCCACATCACTCGCCAACATCACTCGTCGGCAGGGCGAGGAGAGTCTTCCTTGGCTGCGCTCCTTGACTTGGAGCGGCTGTGAGAGCGGGCGCGCGCCGGGCTTTTGGTGCGTGAGCGTGAGCGATCGTCGCTGCGAGCTGGGTTGGAGCGAGAGCGAGAGCGAGAGCGAGAGCGGTCGTCGCTGCGACGTGGAGAGCGAGAGCGGCTACGGCGGGGAGAGCGGCTGTACGAACGGTCCCTGCGGCAGTGCAGGCAAAAGGAGTGTAGAGCCTTGCCTAAGGCAGGCGCAGCTGATGATAACGCAGCTGGGAAAGCACGAAGACATGTCACTGAAACTTGCAGGAGCAGCACAAAACGCTGCAGCAAAAGTTGCAGCCACGCTTGGTTTAGACAAACATGCACCGCACCTGCCACGGCTCCTGCTGCGGCTCCTGGAACGATTGTAGCTGCCGCCACCGCCACCACGGCCATAACCGCCGCCGCCGCCATAGCCGCCGCCACCATAGCCGCCGCCGCCACCGTAACCTGCGCAGCAGAAGTTGCAGAGCCGAGTGGGCGACGAGCTTGGCGCAAGCAGCATGGTGCAAGGCATGCCGTTGCTCCACCAGCATGCTTTCCAGCAGCTTTCCCACACATAGTGTCGAGGTATTAACAATAACAATAGCAGCCACAGCACTAAAGACACTGGCAGCCGACTGGCTGTGTGTGGCTCACCTCCGCGCCCACCATCGCGGTCCTCAACGACGCGCACGTAGGCGCGGTCAAAGGGGTTGCGGAACTCGGTGTCATCCAGCTTCCTGCAGTACAGATGTTGCTGGGGGCGCTGTTCAGCAAGCCGACGCATTTTTGTTCCAAAAGCCTGGATTCTGTAACGTACCCAGTGCACATGCATGCCCTTTGAGCTGAGGAGAGGGAAAGAAAGAGAAACGAGCCCCCCCCGGCCCTACCTGATTGTGCGCTCCATGTCGTCGGCTGTCTCAAACTCCACCACCCCCGTCACGCCATCACGGTCCCGGAACACATTGGTGTAGGCGGGCTTGCACACCTGGCGGACGTGGTCCTGGGGAAGAAAAATGTGGAACCAAGGAAGCGATGCGTGCACAGATCAGAATGTAAGCAGGGTGGCGTGGCGAAGAAGAGGGTGGGGACAAGATATAGCAGCAGATGGAAAATGCGCAGTGCATCACACAAGGATGTTCAATATGCCTATTGCTGGTGCCATGCAGCCAGTTCCATACCGCCGGACCACACCTTGAGGTCCTGCCAGGAGGCGGACATAGGCAGACCCTTAACCAGGACTCGGAACCCGGTCTGGCGGGGGCGGAAGCCAGGGGGGGGTCCGCCGCCAAAGCCGCGCCCGCGTCCACCTGCTCCCTTGGCCAGCTCCACCCTCAGCCTGTTGCCGTAGAAATCGTAGCCGTCGCGCCCCCGCACCGCGTCCTCCGCATCGCTGAAGTAGGCAAGCAGATGATAGAGCAGTTGGATAAGGGCAGGGGACTGGTGCAGCAGGCAGCCTGCAGAATTCCAGCGGGAAAGATGGAAGCACGGGAGCACCACAACGGTGACGGGTCGCCTGCCATCCGTTTGTGTACCACGAGCTCACCGTGGGTCCCTGCAGTCAGGCCAGCAGGGGTGTGACACACATAAGCAGTGCGGCAACCCGGCCTTCATCTTTGGCCTGTGAAGCCACAGGTTGAGTTTGCGCAAGGCAATGCAGGTCTGCGCTCTCGGAATGCGGTAAAGCGGCAAGCTGCAGGCTCACGCGAACTCAACAAAGGCGAAGGCGGGGGGCCGCACGGGCGCCTTCATGTCGATTGACACCACCTTGCCGTACTGCAGGCAAGCGAGCGGGCCACGAGGAGTCGTGCACAAGGCGAGCAGTGCGGCAAATGGTGGCCGCTTCCGGCCAACTTGTGCAAGCTGCAAGCTGTTGCAGCCGTTTAGCGCTCCCGCCGGCCTTGCCTTGCTAAACAAGTCCTCCACCTCCCGCTCCCGGATGTCGTCAGGCAGGTTGCGTGCAGCAGGGGCAGACAAACCAGCAGAGAGCGCAGTCAGGCAGGCGAGCAGAGCCGCGGCAGGAGCCGCAGGGGCGGCTCGCCACCAGCGAAATCCCCACGCCCGGCGCGGCTGCTTGCGAGGGGTGCTGCACCAGCGCCTTCAAAGGCGTGCGCAAGCCGAACGAGAAGCATTCTGCAGCGCCCATGATCATCATCTCGAAGCACAAAGCATCAACAGCGGCAACAAGCTCAGCGTTGGAGTGGCTGACGACTCATCTACATAGACCAGGCAGCCCCTCTCGGCGGCTCCGCGCGACATTTTTGGTGGCGAGTCAGTGCTGCTGGCCCCCTTCAGCCTGACTTGGGCGACCTGCAGGTGCCGCTGTACACACTGTGCACTCTGCAAAAGCCGTTCAGGCCTGAATGTGTTTCTCATGGGCGGGCCGCTCCCTGGCGCTGACTGGACCAGTGTTCCCAGGAGCTGAGAAATTGGCCAGGGCTCACAATGGCGTTGTTATCTCGTTGATGAGCCCAGCTCACTGCGCAGTGCCCCTGCCGGTGCCCGGCGGTTCGAGATGGTTTCCCTTGCCGTCACCTTCAGCGAGAAACTGAAGATAGCGGGAGCTAAAACCGGTGGAGGGGACCAAAAGGTGGTGGGCCTGCTCTGCTCCTATGGCGGCCTGTCTCAGCCCCCGCCCCCTTCCCCGCCCATTGAAGGCGTACAACCACCCCCCTGGCGCTTACAGGAACTCACTGTGGCCATCATCAAGGCCACCACCAGCCAGTTCCATGTGATGCCCAAGGAGAAGCACGTGCGGAGTGAGTGGCGGGTGGGCTGACGTGCGGTCCGGGCTGCAGCCCCCCCCATCTACACGGGCGCTGCTCTAACCGACAAGCCTCCGCTCTGGAGTTAATTCCATGCCCCACCTGCTCCTGCAGCACTGAAGCTGGCAGTGCACTCTGGCCAGCCTCGGCGCAATGTGCTACACATCATCACCGAGCTTCATCGCCGCCTGCAGGATGCCAGCGACTGGCTGGTGGGTAGGTGTCCTGATACCCAGCGATGAGATCATCCTGCCATCTGGTGCACGCACTACGTGTGCGTCATGGCGCCAGCGGCCATGTTACCTTGTCCTGTCTGGCCCATGCAGACTGCTCTTAAGACGCTCATCACGTTGCACCGCTTAATGCGGGAGACAGAGCCGTCATTCATGGAGGAGCTGGTGCGGTACAGGTGCGCACACTTACAGGACAATTCAATGCCAGGATAACCGGATAGGATGGATGATCGCCAGGCCTGCTTGCCATATGGACGCATGGGCTGCAGCAGGGTCAGAGGCAATGTTATCAAACTGACTTCCGCCTGCCCTGCTGCGGCAACGCTGGCTGCAGTGAGGGTCTGTCACAAACCAGCCATGGGGGTGTAGGTGGCGTGGCCGCTGCTCCTACCCGCCTTTTTTCCACCGACAACTTTGTGGACAGGACCAAGGGAGAGGGGCGGTTCGATTTTTCGGAGTGGGTGCGGGCCTATGGAAAGTACCTGGACGAGCAGGTGCGATGCAGCGTCCATGCCCTCTGCCCCTTTCCTCCTCTCTTCCACCTGTGCCCACCCCACGTCTGCAGCTCAGTGTCTATGCCACGCTGCGGTGGTACGTGGAGCAGGAAGCCTCGGGAGCAGAGTCGCGTATGCGCAGCTTGCCCCCTCGTGACCTGCTGTTCCAGCTGCCCAACCTGCAGCGCCTGCAGCGCCGCCTGCTGGACTGCATGCCACGCGGTGCTGCCACGCACGACCCCGTCGTGCTGGTGAGTGAGGAAGTGGGGAAGCACACAGGAGGGAGGGAGGGTGGGTGCTGGTTGCGGGGGGGGGCAACTGCAACCTTTTGTTGGGATGGGTACACTAGCAAACTGTTCGGGAGGGCTACTGAGACGTTGGCGCATGAATATAAGTGGCTTGCTTGCCATCAACATGCATGCATCATCACTGCAGCTTTTGCTGCATGTTCTACTCTCTGATCAGCTTGCTCTTGTTTGTTGTTTGGGGCTCGCCTCTTTTACTTTTTTGTTTCCACTAACCTGTTGCCGCCTGCCTCTACCCCAAACCCATCGCGGTCCGCATCACAGCTCTCGCTGTCTCTGATAGTGAAGGAGAGCTTCAAGCTGTACAAGGCAGTGAGCGAGGGCATCATCAGCCTGGCAGATGCCTTCTTTGAGATGGAGCTGCATGATGCCAGTGAGCCTTCCACTGGAAGAGAGCTGCCAGCCTCTCCAGTTTCAGAGTTGTTACGCGTGTGCTGTGTTGCTTTCTGATGCTGGGTGTTGCAAAGCATCATGGGCTATTTGGGTAATGTGACTTGAACCTACCGCAGCCCACTGAAATGCGTCCTGCCCACGTCCATGCCCTGCCATGCATCCTGCTGTAGCCCGCGGCCTCGAGTACTACAAGGAGGGCATGGCAGCCAGCGACGCCCTCTCCGGCTACTACGCCACCATCGAGCAGCTGGAGGAGGTGGGGCCGTTGGAGGGGGGCATACTAGTAGAGAGTGTGTGAGATCTGGGCATCCGCCAGTGGTCAGCCAGTCCCTGGCAGCTCTTTACTTGCCGGCCCAATTGCTACTGACTTCCTGGCCAGCTTTCTCGTTGCCCTGTCTTGCACAGATCAAGCGCTTAATGCAGCTGCCCAAGTTGTCCACACCACCCTCTGATTTCTTGCGCTCCATGGAGGCCTACCTGGCAGACGCGCCACGCCCACTGCCCGCAGATGGCGATGTGCCACTGCCTACCAAGGTAAGGCGCGGCTTAAGATGGACCAACTGCTGCTGCTTTTGTGAGGGGGGACCTTTGCATTGTGTAATGGACCACTTGCCTGCTGGCAGCTGCTTGTATAGCACCGCTGCATTCTCCTACAGCTTGTGTAGTACTCCCAACCCTCTCGCGGTCTGCTGGTGTGTTGCTGCTGCTGATGCCTTTGCAGAAGGGTGCGCCGCTGCGCAAAGGCAAGCTTCTGCAGAGCAGCAAGTCGAGCGCCCCGGCAGCAGGCGCAGGGGCTGCTCCTCAAGATGCAGGCATGGTGTTGCCCGTGCCGACGGCAGCTGCGTCCAGTTCTGGCACTGGCCAGGAGGTCACCAGCGCGCCAACTTCTGCTGTCAACAGGGCAGGAGCTGCTGGCATGGGCCAGGCAGCTGATGCTGGCCAGGATCTGCTGGAGGCCAACAACACTTCCAGTGTCACGGCAGCTGTGAATGCTCCTAGCAGCAAGGCTGTGCCCTCCCCACTGGACCTCCTGAGTGATCTTGACTTCAGTTTTGGGGCCCCAGCAGCGCCGCTGCAGGGCTCGGGAGGTACTGCTGGGCCCGGTCCCGCTGCCCTCAGCTCCAACCCATTTGCAGATGCCCCACCGGCGCCGGTGGTGGTGGAACCAGCGCCTGCTCCGCTCATGCAAGCAGGCCTGCTGTCGAACCCGTTTGGCGAGGCCAGCCTCGCAGCTGGGGGCAGCAGTGCAGGTTTCGGCTTGGCACTGTCGCCCACTCCGCCAACACAGCCACTGGAGCTACAACAGCCCCAGCAGCCACGCTATGACCAACCAGCATATGCTGTGTCCCCGGCTGCCCTCCCAGCGCTCAGCAACGATCCATTTGTCAACTTTGGCGCTCCTTCACCCGCTCTTGCTGGTGGCACCGCTGCCTCTGGTGAGTATTGGGCTTTTGCTGCGTTGGTGCCGCCAAATGAAGCAGGTGGGGCGCCTAACTGCGCTGTGCTTCACATGCCGCCAGAAAGTGCCTTTGGAAATCATTATTCTGATCCCTTTTTTCGTAATGTTTGGTTGACCCGTCTGCCTTGTGTATGCAGCCATGGCTCCAAGCCCTATTGGCATATGCGGCGACGAGCTCTCTAAAGCTGCACTGCACGATCCTTTTGCTTCATTGATGGGTCTGCCGCGCAAGAACAGTCCGGGTGCCGCAAGTAGGGATCGCATGTCATCATGTTGGAGCATCATGCTTGGCCTGATGGGGCCGGCTGCCGGGCCGATGCGTGCGCTGCTCGTGTCACGCTGCTTGTCTGCGTTATCCCGTTGGTGTTACGATCCTCTGCAAGCCTCCAGGGCACCCTCGTATGGGTCATTTGAAACTGGCTCGTAATGCTTCCCTGCTCTTGCTTGCAGGCAACAAACCGCGTTAACTGTGTTGCCTGCGATGAAAACACGTGTGGCTTTCTCTTTAGCTGGGTATGTTGTGTATCGCCATTTGAAAGTCACATGTAAGAGCCAGCTTTCCTTGGCTTGCCTTTACTGACAGCAGCCACGGATGCAGAACAGCGCCGCCCAGCTGGCTGCTGCTGCGTGCAAGTACGCTGAATGCGGCGTTCTGCAGCTACTGGCTCTTGTTTCTTCTGCCTCAGTGGGCTTAGATGGGATAACACACTGGCAGCAGCAAGGCCCGCGACAGCTGCTCCTGTTCCCGGCAGACTTGCACAGCGACTTGCACGCTGTGAGCCCCGCGCCGTGCTGCTGTGCAGCAGGGTAGGTTGCAGAGCAGGATGCGCTTGGCGCCTTCCCCGTGCCACAACATAATCCCCAGCCAGGCTTGGCAATGCTGCCTCCTGCTGCAGGGGGCGGCTGCTTGGACGGCGGCCAGGCGGCGGCCAGCGCAGGGGGCGCAAGTGGCAGCAGTGCATGATCTCTCTCTCTCTCTCTCTCATCATGACAAGAGCGATAGGCTCTCTCTCTCATCTCCTCACTCCTCCTCTCTCTCTCCCATCGTGATAAGAGCGATAGTACCGTCACTGTACGGTTCGCTCTTTCTCTCCGTAAGTGAACAGAGCAAAAAAAAACCTCTGCGTCACGTCTCTCATTACCATGCAGCTCGCCCCTCGCACCAGGCTCCCGCAGGGGGGCTTCCAAGCTTTGCGGCGGCGGCGGCTGGCCTGCCAGTGCACGGCCGCCCCCGTGCGAGAGGTGCTAGAGGAGGGAAGCGCGGCCTTCAAGGGCGAGGTGCAGCCAGGCCTTAACAAGTACAGCAGCCACATCACCCAGCCCAAGAGCCAGGGGGCCAGCCAGGCCATGCTGTATGCCACCGGGTTGCGGGAAGAGGACATGAGCAAACCGCAGGTGATTTGAGGGTGGCATTGCCGGCACGGCCGATGGGCACCGCCCTGGCGCCGCCATGCAGGCGGCGGCACTTCTCGGAGGGACTTGTCCAGGCCTGTCCCCAGCATCCGCAGTTCTGCCATGCTGCGTGCCTGCCCCGGGGTGCCATGCAGGTTGGCATCAGCAGTGTGTGGTGGGAGGGCAACCCCTGCAACATGCACCTGAATGACCTGGCGCAGAGGTCAAGGCGGGGGTTGAGGAGGCAGGGCTGGTGGGCCTGCGATTCAACACCATCGGTGTCAGCGACGGCATCTCCATGGGCACCGACGGCATGAGCTACTCCCTGCAGTCGCGTGACATCATTGCGGGTACGCGCCACTTGGCTGGCCCCCCCACCACACATTCAGGGAGGTTGTCCTTACTGCGCCAAAGCTGCCACCGCTCACCCATCCGCATCGCACGTGCCTTTGCCTTTCGCTTCCCTTCCTCAGATTCTATTGAGACTGTGATGAGCGCGCAGTGGTATGACGCCAACATCTCTCTCCCGGGATGCGACAAAAACATGCCGGGCACCATTATGGCCATGGCCCGTGTCAACCGCCCCTCGCTCATGATCTATGGAGGTGCGGGCAGGTGGCGGTGGCAACTGATTGCAGCCTGCGGCATGGCCAGCCAGGGTGGCCACTCATCTCCTGCTGGCGCTCTCCAGTGCGCCCAATGCACAAGCCCAGGATGCACCTGCGCCTGCCCCAAACCTGTTGCACTGGTTGCGCCCCTTCCTGGGGTCGCCATCTCTTGCAGGTACCATCAAGCCTGGGTACAGTAAGCTAGGCGATGGCGCCACACTGGATGTTGTATCTGCCTTCCAATCGTTTGGTGGCTATGCAGCGGGGCTGATCACGGAGGACCAGCGCTGCGACATCGTGCGCAATTCTTGCCCCGGACCTGGTGCGTAGGTAGCAGGTACTGCTGAACATTTGTGGCGGGTGCGGACAAGTGCAGCGCGAAAGATTTGGGGCAGGGGTTCATTTCTTGTGGGGCGACACCACCTCCGGACCGGGGTCGGTGCGTGTGACGTGGGTTTGCCAGGGGGGCCAATCCGGTGGTGCTCGAGGGGCCAGCAGGCGTCCTTGTCAGCCTGTCTCACACCCGCCCGTTTCCCAGCCGCCCTATCACCCCAAGCTGCTGCAACTCCCTTTCTTGGGTTACTTACAACTTGCAGCATGACTTGTAGGTGCATGCGGCGGCATGTACACCGCCAACACCATGGCTAGTGCCATTGAGGCGCTGGGCATGGCGCTACCCTACAGCAGCAGCACCCCCGCAGAAGACCCGCTGAAGCGGGTCGAGTGCCGGCTGGCAGGCAGGTGCGTAAGACTGGCAGAATTTTTTTTGTGAGTGTATGGCGGTAGCGCTGCTCAGTTGCCCGCCCACTGATCCCATTGTTCTTGCTTGTTGCTGGCAGGTATGTGTTGGAGCTGCTACGCCGTGATGTCAAGCCCCGTGACATCATGACTCTGGCTGCCTTTGAGAATGCAATGGTGCTGGTCATGGCAACGGGTGGCTCCACTAATGCAGGTGGGTGCTGTGAGGGGTTGTACGCCCTAAACCACGTCCCGTGCTGAAACACTCTGCCCTTGCATGCAGTGCTGCACCTGATCGCCATGGCACGTGCCTGCGAGCTGGATCTCACGCTTGACGACTTCCAGCGAGTGTCAGATCGCGTGCCTTTCATCGCTGACCTGAAGCCAAGTGGAAAATACGTGATGGAGGATGTACATAAGGTATGGGAGTCAGGACTCGATGGCCGGGAAGAATAGCCAGCCTGCTCGGCGAGCTGCCAGTGCAGCGGCTGCGATGGACGCTTGTTAAGCAGGCAACGGGCTCCTGAATGGCGAGCAGCACTCTGTATTGCCTGCTTGCCCTCAGGTGGGTGGCACCCCCGCCATCCTCAAGTACCTGCACCAGCACAACCTGGTGGACGGCACCTGCCTCACCGTGACTGGCAAGACCCTGGCTGAGAACCTGGCTACCTGCCCGGGACTGAGGGAAGGGCAGGATGTAATCCTGCCACTGGATGCGCCCATCAAGTCCTCCGGCCACCTGCAGATCCTCTATGGCAACCTGTCGCCAGAAGGCTCTGGTGGGTGGGTGCATGACAGCATCGCGCGGAGGATGGCCGTCAGGTGGCTTTATGGCCTGCATGCCTGTCATATTCGTCCTTCACCCTTCCCAGCCTGCGTTGGCAACTGTCAGTGGCTGCTGGCTCACACCCCTGATGCTTACCCTTGTGCTCGCCATGCCTCGCCTGCGTGCGGCCCTCCCTCGTTTGAACTGCAGTTGGCAAGATCACTGGAAAGGAGGGACTTGTATTTGAGGGACGGGCGCTCTGTTTTGACTGCGAGGAGGACATGCTGGCAGCACTTGAGCAGGACCAAGAGCAGTTCAAGGTGGGCTCAAGGCGGGCGGTTGGGCGCGCCGGGTCGGGCAGCCTGGGCATGTGACTGGTAGCATGGATTGATGCCAGCTGCTATGCCACGAAACTTGCTCCCTACCCTGCCCTCAGGGCTCTGTGGTTGTGATTCGATACGAGGGCCCCAAGGGCGGGCCGGGCATGCCTGAGATGCTGACTCCCACCAGCGCAATCATGGGCGCCGGTCTGGGTAATGATTGCGCGCTCATCACCGACGGACGGTTCAGGTGGGAGGGAGGGGCCCGCAGGCTCATCGTTTGCCGCACTGGTGCAGGCAGGGTGCTGGGCTGGGTGTGCAGCCCCCACATCGGATCTGCTGATTCTTGCCTCGCTCCTGCAAGTGTTGGATGGTGCCTGCCGTGCTCTGCAGCGGCGGCTCCCACGGTTTTGTGATTGGCCATGTGTGCCCAGAGGCACAAGAGGGTGGGCCCATTGCCCTTGTCAAGGTGGGGGGGAGCGGTTGTTATTTGGCTCTGTGATTGCTTGCTCACTGCCTGTCCCCACTTGCCGTGCCCTGCCAGCATAATGCGCCACGCCGAGCCAGCTCATCACTCATCGCCTCTTTGCTCTGTCCTGTGCCTGCACAGAACGGAGACACAATCCGCATAGATGCGGAGACGCGGGCAATGGACATCCTACATGTTGACGATGCCGAGCTGGCACGCAGGTAAAGGGCAGCACCTGCTTGCATCGGCGGTGGATTTGCAAGGCAGAAGGGCGCTCACAGATCCCTGTGAGGTGACGAGAAGTGCCGCACCTCCCTGACTGCAGGCGGACCGAGTGGACAGCGCCACCGCTGAAGGCTCGGCAGGGCACTCTGTATAAGTACATCAAAAGCGTGGCACCGGCCTCCCTGGGTTGCGTCACGGATGCGTGAGTGCATGGGCAATGAGGACCTCCCCAATGGACTGCCGTGGACCCCAATGGACTGCCGTGGCCTCGACTATTACACGCAACTCGCTGCACTGCTGGATTATTGCATGCCCTCTGCACGGATGCCAAGCTACTGTTAGTGGCTTGTTCGACTTTTGGTGGCGGGGTCGTCGCATCGTAGTCAGTTTCATGGTGCCCACACGGCGCCCGCACGCCTGCCAAGCCGATGCGCCAGTGCATCATGCAGGGCCAGTTCAGCATAGACAGGCGTACTGCCGAGCAAAATATCGGCGAATGGTCCACGGGGTGGTGTTGAGTAACACCGATGGGAAAAGGGAAAGGGAGGTAGGAGAGAGGGGGAGAAGGGAGGGTGGGCCACCAGCTAGGGTATGCAATTTGCTGTCGGCTGTCTGGCTGCGTCACACTGACCCAAATGCTGCTACAAGCAATGCTGGCAGGCTGCCGGGGGTACCGCCCGCTGACTGTCAAAAGCATGCTGCACATGTGGGCACCTGCGATGGAGCAGCTGAGGGCCAGGAGTCAGTATGCGTCTGCGGGGAGTCAGCTGCATGTTGCCAGTTCAGCATGCAGGGCCAACATGCAGTGGGGGCAGTGGGGGCCTCCTTCCATGCCGCGTCCAATGATTACAATGTACACATCCTAGGCACGCAACAATTTGGTGCAAGCTACAAACTGACCCTGTCCAAGAGCTCTGCACGTTGCTGAGAGTCGAGCGTCCAAGCGCACGCTATGCAGACCGCACGGTGAGTCGCTGCCTCCTCCGCAGTTCTGCTTGGCGGTGTCATGTACCCCATCTGAGAGTAATGGTGCAGGAGCATGAGGAGCAGCGGCTGTGTGCCCAGGCGGCCAGCATGCGGACGGCCCACCCAGGTGGAGTTGCTGGGCATGCCCGCAAAATTTGGGATTGCGGCTTTATTTTAAACCAAACGGTTGTGATTTATGGTGGCTTGGGGCCGACATGCGCCGCACCGCCGCCGCCACCCGCTGCAGCGGCTGACCGTGCGGCGCATCAGCCTGGCGGTGCGTGCGGCTCAGGTATCATCCAACGACTTTAAGAATGGGATGACCATTGAAATGGATGGCGCGCCGTACAAGGTCGTGGGTGAGTGGCGACGGCGCCGCAAATAGCAGTATAGCAAATAGCAGTGTAGGATCGAGTGTTTGCCACCGATTTCTGAGCGCGCTGCCCCGCTCTGTCGGTGTGCAAGTGGCTCGCACCACATGTTTGTGCCTGCTGCCATGCATTCCGCACTGCGGTCAAGGCATTCGTGCTTCGTTACCTGGCCCATGCCGCTTGGCAGACCTGCCCCGCCCACCGCCCTTTGAGCAGAATTCCTGCATGTCAAGCCGGGCAAGGGTGCAGCGTTTGTGCGCAGCAAGCTGAAGAATTTCATCACCAACAACACGGTAGAGAAGACGTGGCGGGCGGGGGAGACTGTGGAGCTGGCAGCGGTGGAAAAGAAGGAGACGCAATTCACTTACGCGGAGGGCGACGAGGTGTGTGTGGGGAAGCTGTGGATGCGCAGCAACGCGGGGTGTGGCTGGGTGAAGTACGAAGAGGGCAGCAGAGTGGTGGTGTGGGTGGGTAGGTGGAGCGAGGGTAGGAATGTACATATATGTGGGAGGGTGTGTCACCCGCCCTTTTCCCATCCACCCTATCCGCTTTTGCAGTATGTGTTCATGGACATGTCGACATATGAGGTGGGTGGAATGCAGAGGTGTGGGGTTGGTGGGTGGCTGGATGGGGGAGGGTGGCATGTGGGTGGGTGGAGGGGGAGGGGTGGCATCTGGTTTGCCATGCCCCACCGCAACGGCGCCCCCCCAGGGAGCCTCTTTCCTCCCCTGGGAACACACATGTGCGGGAAATCACGCCCATGCTGGGCCCTGCTGCGCCAGCCAGCCAGCCCCGGCAGGCACCCAACCTCGCCTCTCTTGAACATGTCCAATATTGCCTTTCTTGAACATGTCCAATAGGAGACACGCATCCCTAGGGATGAGGACTGGGCCAAGTACCTGAAGGAGGGCATGGACGTGGGGGTGCTGCTGTGGAATGGAAAGGTATATCGCAGGCAGCCCGACATCCTCCTGCAAGCTGGCGGTTTTCCCAGCAGCTCCCCCTTGGTTTGGGCAGCCTGTGAAAAATGGAAGCCACCACAGGGCAGGCAATAGATGAGCATGGCGCTGTTTGATGGCCGCTTGCCACCCGCATGTGGTGACGAGCCACACACCCCACTCCGCTGAGCCGGCTCTGCCTCCTATTTCCCCAGGTCATTAGCGTTGAGCTCCCCAACACCGTGGAGCTGGAGGTGGTGGAGACAGACCCGGGACTGCGCGGCAACACGGCGGTCAGTTCTGGAATGGCATTCCGAATAGACTGCTGGAGCGGGTGCTGGTGATCATAGTGTCTTGTTCAATGCGCTCTGCCACTACTGCCGCAACCCTTGCCTGCAGGCCGGCGGCAGCAAACCCGCCAAGCTGGAGACGGGCGCGGTGATCCAGGTGCCGCTGTTCATCAACCTGGGCGACCGGTTAAAGGTGGATACTCGTTCAGACACCTACCTGTCGCGCGCTAACTGAGGCGAACACCAGTTGTCGTTTTCACCCAGATGCTGTTAAAAAGCAGAACCGCAGGCCTGGAAGGGCGTTTTTTTACGGTGACAGGGTCACCGTCACTGTAAGAACAAAAACGAGAAACTCGCACAGGAAAAAAGTGCCGAATGCAATGCAATGCTCTTGTAATGTCGCTGTTGCTGTTGTTGCCGTTCACAACTGTGTGTCCATTGGGTAGCTTCCCAACACACGGAGGAATGGAGCAATCTCCTGCAAGGCAACGCACAGGGCATGTGTGTGGGTGGAGCAGGCGGGCATGTTGCAAGCACATGAAAGTGTTGCACATGCACACAAAAGCTCCCGTGTGGCGCCACAGGGGCACCAGCGCCTCAGCAAACTTGCCTGCAGATGTCGCAGCGCATTCTGTGCCTGCGGCTCTGCCAAGGAGCCCACGAAGTCGATGTAGAAGAGGTAATTGAAGGATCTCTGCGCCCCTGATCCACTGGATGCATCTGCATAAGGAGGGGAGGGATGAGAGTAGGAACCTCGGCCGTTGCACGTGTAGGCAGGACATGAGTGTCTTGGAATGCGGGCCATGCCACCAATCTCCCAATTTGCTTCACGTGCCCGCAACACTGGCCTTGCTGCCCTGCGTCACATTAAGCACCTGACAGGATGAGTGGATTTGCCCGCATTGGCCTTGACTCTATTTTTGTCATATCTATGTCGCGAAGCGCAAACACGCTCAGTGCCTTGAACAGCATGCCGGGGCCCTGCAGGGAAAGCGGGGTGCGGAATGCACAAATTTGTATGGAGCAGGCGAGGGAAGAAAGCCGCCTCATCATTGGCAGGGGCCGCCCTTAGGGTTCTAAAGAACGGCAGACATGAAGCTTGAGAACGGGTTCTACAACCCTGGGATAGCACGGCATATGACCTCCACCAAGCAGCTGACCCCGCCTTGAAAAATCCATCATGTCCTCTGCCACCCGCTGCATCTGCACCAACCTCCCGCAGGCTGAACACAATGGATGTCTTGTATGGCACAGAAGAGGTGAGGGCATCGGTGGCCACCAGTGGGTCGCGTGATAGCACAACAAAGCGAGTCACATTGTCCTTCATGTCCTGAATAAATGTGGGGGCACAGTGGAGGATGGTACGCAGGGTCGGTAGATGAGATGGACCCAACCGCAGTGCATGTGTTTCTTAAAATAATATAGCGGAGGGGCGGCAGTGCAAACTTTGAAGACAACGGCAGCAAACAATGCGTGTGGAATGCACCGGGACTACGCATGCAGCTGCACTTCAGTTGCAACACTGTCGGCGCCTCACGCCAGAAACGTGGCACAAAAAAGCCTCCATACCCACCTGAATGTCTTCATCCAGCACGTCCAGCCCATAGAGTTCACCCGCCCGCCGTGATGCCACTGCCGCCGCATCCCGCCAGTTATTTTCCGCAATCATCTTGGCTGCCCCCGCTGCAAGCCGAGAGCACAATGCGGAACCTTAATATCTGGAATTTAGCATCAAGATTGGTGTGCCCAGCTGGACAGAGCAATACAGAGATCCCCCCCGGTATCCAGCAGGCCCACCTGTGTCATCCACCGCCTGGCGCACAACCCCCGGCATGCGCCGTGTGTAGCTGTCAGTCTGCGCCAGTGCCTGCGGGTGGCTCAGCACCCGCTTGATCTCGCCCTTCTCCACACCCGGCAGGGCCAATAGGCAGTGCCGCACTGCGACTGCAAACGGAGGCAGGCAAGCAGGAAGGTGGCCAGTTTGCTGCATAGGCTTGCTGTGACCTGCTAGGCTGGGAGGCAAACTGATTGGCAGGCTCTCCCTGCTGGAGGCAGGTTGCGATGGGAGCTGGAACAGGACGAGTCGGGATCTGCAGCTACCAGCTACAGGACAAGCGCCTCATGCTGCCGCTCCGGCAGAAATGCCGTGCTGGCTGAACTTCTTGATAAGCCCATGCATCCACCGTGCCACACCATGCACTCTAACTCTGCCTGCCCGCCAAAAGCACACCTGACACCTCCCCCACGATGTGCAGCCGATAACGCAGCAGAAGGTCGTACACCGCGTGGATGCTGCCGCCCAGGCTATTCTCCACTGGTAGTGCTGCACGCTCTGCCATCCACTGCAACAAACGGGGCAACCTAAAGGTATCCTAAGCACTGCACCGTTGCCCCTGCACCACCGGTCGCTGCTTTGCCATCGCCCACAACCGATTCGCCCTGCGACCGTGCCCACACCTGGCTAAGCGCTTGAAACGCGACCTCAAACTGCTCGCAGGGCAGCGGTTCCCAGCCGGGGCACGCTTTGAGCGCCGCCATCTCGCTGTATGCGCCGGGCACACCCTGCAGAAGTTGCCGTGAGAGAGGGCCAGGCACGAGGCAAGCAAGACAAGTAAGTATTTCTGCAGCTGTTCTGTGTGGTCGGATGGCGGAAGGGCGCAAGGGTGGTAGAGCAGCGGCCTGCGCCGCGTTTTGTTTGCGCCTGAGTGGCACAGTCATTTGCTGCACCCCCTGCTGGCACCCCCACACACAGCCAATGTGTAATGTGCAGCACATTCGCCCTTGCATCTGCACCACACTACGCTCCCGCTCAGGCCTGCGCAACCCACCTGGTAAGCGACACGATTGATGGGGCGGTAGCCGTCGTCTACCGGGGCCGCCTGCTGCCCGTTGGTCCCAGCCGCATTGGCCACCAGAGCCGACGTCAACACACCATCAGGCCCCAGGCTGATGCCACGCAGACCTGGCGGTCCTCGCAAGAAGCCGCCAGCAGCGGCGGCAGCAGCTGGGGAGCGGGCTGCCGCGAACGCGACGCTGGCCAACCGATCCGCAGCTTGCGTGCTGCTGTAGCCGCTCGCCGCGGCTCTGGGAGGTTCCAGGGTGCTGGGGGTGGCTTCGCAGCGGGGAAGCGGCCTAACTCTGCCTCGACTCGGCCGCATACCATCCTCAGCGCTGCGGCTGTGCTGGACCATGGCCTTGGCTCGCATCGATACTTGCTGCGAGTGGCGGGGCGCGGGGAATGCGCAAGGTGGGGTCTCGCGAGGAGAGGGGCTTTGGCCCAGGCAAGACGGGAGGCGTCAATATTCAGAATAAATAATTCACAGCCGAGGATCACATCCCCCCATCGAAATCCACATTGGTGCTGTGAAGGAGGCCTTACATCTTGCAAGGTTGGCCACGCATGGATGGTCCAGCGCTGGCCAGCCTTTCCATGAACATGCCTCGCAGCCCTTCCTTCTTTTGAAGTGCCATGCTGCGCACTTGCTGGTGAACCCATCTGAGCAAAACCCTCTCTCTAGCTAGCTAGCGAGATAATAAACAGCGCAGGCACGGTAGCACTGTAATCTCGGTCCAGCATGCCGACCAGAGCTAGCGCCAGGCCAGCCGTGTTGATGGCAGGCGCTCGACCGCCTCAGCGGCCGCTTCCACGCCTCAGCGGCCGGCCCCCGCAGCAGACCCCCTCCCGACCCATGGCCGCGCTGCGCAACAGGCAGTGCAGGTGCGTGGCGCGGGTGGTGGCCCAGCTTGTGGCGGGCGGCGGCGGCGAAATGTTGGACACGACGCACACATGGCGCCCCTTGCCCTGTGCAGGCTGAACATGTGCCAGGGCACTGGCAAGGATAGCGAGACTGAGATGGCGGCGATGGCAGCCCTCTCAGCTGCGGTAGCCGAGGCAAATGTGCGCCGCCGCATCCCTCCCTTGCAATGATTGTCAGGGTTCTGGATGCCCGCGCTCATCTTCCCAGCTGCCAGTGAAGACCTGCATGCGTATGCACCCACCGTCCTGGATAGCGCACTCGATGCCCACTTGCATCAACATACTATGATCGTGCGCATGCTGCAGGGCACCAGCAGCCCTGCAGAGAGTGTAGCGCTTATGGGCGAGGAGCTAGTTGAAGACAACCCCGAGTTGCACCCTCTTAAAGAGGCGCTACAGCGAGCAAAGCTGCGGCTGGAGGAGGCCACTGGCATCAGGTGCACTAAGGGGGGTGTCCAAGGGGGTGAAGGGCGCTGTGGCCAACACTCTCACAGCTGTCATGTGCTCAGGCAGCACCAGCTGCTGCTGCTGCTGCCAACATCTGCCAAGCCCCTCACTGCGGCATTGTGCTGTCCGCCCTGCCTTTCCAGGGAGGCATTGGAGGCAGAGGCACAGAAGGTGGCCCAGCTGGCCGTGAATGCCGAGGGTGCTGTCACCAAGTACCGCAAGCAGCTGGAGGAGGCGAGCGTGGAGCTGGAGGCAGCAGAGGCTGCCAACCAGCGCGCCATGGTCGAGCTGGCTGAGCTTCGACAGCAGATGGCCAGCGAGGCGGCGCTGGGGCGGCAGGGTACGGCTGTATGATGCTTGGCACTGGGTATATGCATCATGCACTCACCTGGCGGCGTCGCGTTCCTGCAGACGAGGACAAGCTTGAAAAGGTAGCCGCTGTGGCCGAGGCAGCAGCAGAAGAGAAAAGCGACGTCACTGCTGCAGCTGCAGAGATGGACGATGAGCTGGGGCAGCACAGTGGTCAGCTGGAAAGCACAGGGGGGCGCATCACCGAGGCGCAGGCCAAGGTGGGTAGGTGGTTGGGGTGGCTTGCTGGGTGGCTGGCGTGGAGGCAGGCGCAAGGCCCGGCAATATTGGCGCTAGCCAGTACACCAGCAGAGCCTGTTGCTTTCAGAGTGAAGAGCACTGACACAGTTCCTCCCATGGAATGCACCCTCAGATTGCTCGGCTGCAAGCCAAGCTTGTCACTGCGGAGGAGGCGGCGAAGCAAGCAGACAGCATCGCGCAGGCGGCTATGGAGGCGGCGGAGGAGGCGGTGAGGGACGAGATGGAGACGATTGCCGGTGGGTGTCCGCTGTTGGGTGGCACCCCGCACGGGATCACATGCCAGTGCAGGCAGGGCTGTTTGAGTGTGGGGATTGGGATGAATCGTAGGGTAATTTTACGTCAAAATTGTGTGTGCAGTCTGCAAGGAGACTGAAAATGCTCTGCTCAAGGCCATTGAGGACCTGCGTTTCTTGGACGATACCAGCGGTGGGTGGTGGCTGCTGGGCGCTGGCAGCGCAATGGATTGTGTGTTGTTGCTTCTGCTATCGTGTGCTGCCAACTGTCACTGCACATCTCACCTCCTGCCCTGCTCCGTCTTGCATGTTTTCCCTGTGCCACAGAGCGCCAGGAGGAGGAGTGGGACCGCAAGAGCGTGTTGCGAACCATTGACGCCGATGATGGTGATGGTAGTGCGACATCGGAGACAGCGCGCGGCGTGGTGAGTGCTGCCAGCGGTTGGAATACAGAAGAGCGAGGGATGTTCTGCACAGCGCCTGCACGGTTGGCAGCCAACGCCCTGACCGAATGTTGTGCTGACCTGTACAGCCGTGCCGACCCCTCGACTCCCTGTTGCGTTCACTGTAAGGCCTACCTGCGCATTCCTTTGCTGGGCCACCCTGCAGCCTACCGACCTGCGGCCACTGGAGGAGGAGCGGGCGGAGGCGGCCCGTCAGGCGCAGCTCAAGGGCTGGCGTCGCCTGCTGGCTGCGCTCAACCAGAACAAGGCGCTGATCCTGGGAGTTGTGGCGGTGGTTGCAGTGGGCGGCTACGTCTTGCACCAGCACGCCGTGTTCGCGACGGTTGCCTCGCAGCTGCAGGTGGCGTACGCCGCGGCGGGCCGCCTTTGGGCTATGGCCGCCAATTTGGTCAGGTGAATTGCGTGCATTCATTTAGTGCCTGCATTACACCCCAGCACCAGTACGTGTTCATCAATCCACAATCAATGCCAGAGCTGCGCCTCCGAGTCAGCGTGCACCCACTATGTATATGTTTGCCCTACCCGCCCTTGCAGCCGAGTGCCCTTCCCCCACATCCATCCCGGTGAGGAGGGGCTGCTGGAGACCATCTGGCTGCTTCTGGCCTCCGTCATCACGGTGCCCCTCATTTGCAAAATCCCAGGCGGATCACCTGTGCTTGGCTTCCTGGTGAGCGGAAGGGGCCTGGGCCAGTTTAGCCTGGGAGCGGGCTGCTGAAGTCCGGCCAGCCCCCAACGAGTGTGTGTACGCGTTTTGCGTGCGTGGGCTTCTTGGCGCCGCCTCGACCCCCTCAACAAACCGCCACTCATCAACACCTTTCTGGGGCTCCTTCTTACATCTCTGATTGCGCAGGCTGGAGGTGCGCTGGTCGGTCCAGCAGCGCTAGGCCTGATTCAAGATGTGGAGTCGATCCGCCACCTGGCTGAGCTGGGCGTTGTCTTCCTGCTGTTCAACATTGGCCTGGAGCTCAGCTTTGACCGCTTGCGCTCCATGGGCAAGTTTGTGTTTGGCATGGGCACCGCGCAGGTGGGCGAGTCAGCATAGGTGTGACGGGAAGCAGACACGAGCAGCTCGTGTGGGCAGGAATAGGAGCCCTGCTGCTACCCAAAGCGCCCCCGGCTGCGCTCCTGGCTGAGACGTGCAGGTGGTGCTGACACTGGCGGCCGTGGCATGGACGGGCATGGCTGTCACGGGTGGCACACTGGGAGGGCCAGGTGCCATCATCCTGGGTGGCGGCCTGGCGCTGTCTACCACGGCAGTGGGCATGCAGGTATGCGTTGTGATGCGCTGCATGTGTTTGCAAGGTTAAGGGGTGCAGGGGACTATGCTCGCCTCACTTATCCGTGTCTGTCGGATGGATGGGCAATCTTTCGTCGCTCCAACTACCTTGGCACCTCGTGCCCCTGAGCAAAGCCCAGACCTTGCATCTACAGCCCATTGGTGCATCTCTCCCTTTTTGTACCCTATGCTTGGCGAACTGGTGCTATCGAACAATCACCCCTCCTCGCCTGCCTGCCTCCCCTTTTTGCAGGTTCTGGCAGACCGTGGCGAGGCTGGGTCCAAGTTCGGTCGCGCCACCTTTAGCGTGTTGCTGCTTCAGGATCTGGCGGTTGTCGTGCTGCTCATGCTCATCCCGTTGCTGGCCCCCGGCCCAGATGGTGCCTCAGGTACGGCATGGCTGGTGGCAACATGGGTGTCGCCACTGTGCTGCTGACTGTGCCTGGGCGACTGAGGCCAAGCAACCGCTCTTGTGGGGCACCACCTGCTAAGCCTGCACACAAATTCGTCGCTCGGTTGAGCATGTACATCCTCTCCTGCCTTCGTGCCTTCCCCCACCCCACCCGGGCACTCTGATTCTACAGCTGCTGGCATTTCCTCCATCACCAAGGCGATTGGGGCTGCAGCCGTCAAGGCGGTGGTGACCATGGTCGGCATCACAGTGGCGGGCCGCACCTTGCTGCGCCCACTCTACAAGCGAGTAGCAGGTGTGTCACACCGGTGGCGGCAGTTTGGGCCAGCAGCAGCCATTCTGCCCATGTGCCCATCCTCCGTGTTCCATGCCCTCACCCGCACAACTTCTGGTCTGCCTTCATGATCCTCATCCTGCCCTGCTACTCTGATGCCCTGCCCACCCACTTCACAAATGCCACCTGCAGAGACCAACGACTCCACCATCTTCAATGCGCTCACTCTGCTTGTGGTGCTGGGCACCAGCCTCATCACGCAGCTGGCGGGGCTCAGCCTGGCGCTGGGCGCCTTTTTGGCGGGGCTGCTGCTGGCAGAGACTGAATACCACCTGCAGGTGGGCTGTGCAGGGCGAATGGGGAGTTCCAGGAAGATAAGCTGGACACCTCAGGCTTAGCACATGCTTCGCATGCTTAAGCCGTTTCTGCCACGTCTTTTGTTGTGCAGGTGGAGTCTGATATCGGACCCTACAAAGGCCTGCTCATGGGCCTCTTCTTCATGACCGGTGCGCCTTGTTTTGCTGTGCTTTTGATTCAAACGAAGCTATCGATTGTCTTTGGTTGCCTAGCCCTTTCCGGTCATTCAGCAAAGTATAGGTGTAGCATCACAACACTCACACACCTTCTTGGTTGCCCTGTAGTTGGCATGGAGATCAGCGTGCCCCTTTTCTTTGCCAAGCTGAAGCCCATCATGGTGGCCATGGGGCTCCTCATTGTGGGCAAGGTGGCGGTCATGACAGCCGTGGGGCAGGCCTTCGGTCTGACCCTGGTACAGAGCATGCGCAGGTGTGGCTGGGGATATCGTTGCGATGGGAGGGGGCAACTGGGGGTTTGCTGTGTTTGCGTGACATGATGCTGCTGTGTTTACTGTTCCTGCAAGAAGTAACCCCATTGAGCCCTCACACACCCACCTCCGAGTGGTCACATGTTTGCAGCGGCCTGCTTTTGGCCCCGGGGGGCGAGTTTGCTTTCGTGCTGTTTGGCGAGGCCGTGGCGAGGGGCATCATGGGGACAGCGCTGGCTAAGGAGCTCTACCTGGTTGTGGCCCTCAGGTGGGGCCAGGGTGGTGGGCAGTGGATGGAGGTGGTGTCCATGCTAAGGAGTTGGGCGCTGGGTCAGGTGCAGCTCACGTGTCTTCTGTCTACATCTTACCACCCCTGTTTCCCTACCTGGCCGCCCCCACCCCACCCTGCCACCCTCCAAACACACACTGCAGCATGGCTCTCACGCCCTTCCTGGCCCAGTTTGGCGGCAAGTTGAGCCAGATGCTGGAGAAGAGCGACATGAAGGCGCTGCAGGTGATGATGGCCGGGCTTATATGTGCTGGTGTCTGCATTCCTGTACTTGGCTGCCCAACGAGCCGGCATAGCTTGGCTGATCCTCCTGGGGCCCCATTTTTTTACCTTCTATCGCATTGCTGCCTGGCATGCCAACATTGGGCAACTGGCTGCAGCCCAAGGAGGGCGAGATGTCGGGCATGAGCGGCCACGTCATCATCTGTGGGTTTGGCCGCGTGGGAGAGCTGATTGGCCAGGTGTGTGCGTGCAGGCTGTCATCCTTGCTGGCCTGAACACTGCTCCGTTTTAATCCTGCGCTATACACGTTCGTTGGCCCTGTTCGGGCCGGCTACTTTACGCAGCATCTGGTACCCCCGCCACTGCTGATCAGAGATGCCCTTCCTGTCCTTGCCTGCCCACAGATGCTGACCGAGCGGCTCATTCCCTTTGTGGCCCTCGACGTCAGCGCGAGCCGTGTGCAGGTGTGGCAGCACTCACGCCAGTCAGTGCCCAGTGGCGGTGACAGCTTGCATTGCCTGCCACATGCTCAACACTGGATGCAGCCCTGCGCTCCAGTGTGTTACCTCATGCAGTTACCATGTGTACTGCTTCAGGAGGGCAAGAAACTGGACCTGCCTGTGTACTTTGGTGATGCCGGCTCACCCGCGGTGTTGCACGCCGTGGGAGCAGACCAGGCGGCCTGTGCGGTAAGATGCAGGGCAGGCAGACCTGCTGAAATGGGCAGGTGTTAAGCAGGAAGCAGTTTGCGCCTGACGATCTGGGATTCAACGGTGCAGCCCACAGCGCGGCACTCAGGGAGCCTTTGAGCTTGCACGTCTTGCTTTCAGATTTTTGCCCCCAGCTGGTATCACCATTGTGCTCTGGTGCCACTGCAGGTCATCACTCTGGATACTGCAGGTGCCAACTATCGTTCTGTGTGGGCTATGCACAAGTAAGCAATTTGCAATGGCTGTACAATCAAAACAACAATGGCCAAAGTGCACCAAGACACCAATTGAAGTTGCCTGACCCACATATGCACACAGGCACTTCCCACATGTCAAGACTTTTGTGCGCGCGTTTGACATTGAAAATGGTGCGCCAGGGACGGAGCGCCGCTGCCATTTGATTAACGGTTGCGTGGTGGAGCAGCGCTGCCTGCCTGCCTCCGTAATATGCCCCCCAACCTGTATTGCCCCACCGCAGGTGTGATGCTTGAGAAGGCGGGTGCCACTGCTGTTGTGCCTGAAATCCTGGAGCCCAGCTTGCAGCTGGCGGCAGCAGTGCTGAGCCAGGTGGGACAATGTGGGCAACAGGGTGTGTTGGCTGTGGACTGTGGAGCACTGTAGTCAATGCAGCCAGCACACAAGCCATTATCGCCGCTCCTTGGTCAAGAGATGCCTTCGATTCTATCCCTGCACACACCATCTCAGCACCTGCCACCCTTCCCACCATGCAGCTCAACATGCCCGAGGATGAGGTCGCCGAGACGATCCGCACCTTCCGCAAGAGCCATCTCAGCGAGCTGCAAGTCCTGGCGCAGATAAGGTGGGGATGGGCTTGTAATTGTTGATGTGGGTGATTGGGTTGCACGTATGACGGCCGAGGGGCACCAGGGTAGGGCCTTAAGGATTTATGTCCATGGCGCGCGACTTTGCTGCCGAGCTGCTGACACCCACACACCTCCCTTCTGCTGCGCCCCCTCCCTGCCGATTGCAGTGGAAGTTCGTTGGGCTATGGGGTGCCCAACAAGGTGGAGGGTGGCAAAAGCAAGTCGGTGGATGTGTCGGCGGTGGAGGAGACAGACAGCGAGGGGCGTGTGATTGGTGGCGATGGAGTGGCGGTGGTACCCGTGGCGGGCTGATGTCTCGAAATGTGCAGTCTGCTGACTAGAATGCGCTTTTCTCAAGCCATGCTTATGCAATGCTTACAAATCTTCTCTTCCCAGCCATTGGGGTTTCAATGCCATTGGACACATTGCAGCATGCATGTTTTCCACTGTTTTCCAATCCAACCCACTCTCACTTCTGTCTTCTGACGCATACTGAAGGCCATGCTCCAATCTCTTTTGACTGCTTTATAAAACGTGCCCTGCCCTGTAATTTTAATGCAAGCCTCATCAATTCTCTAACCCCAGTCTGCACGCTGGCAGCATGTGTAAGTCCCATGCCTGCTGGCCCGCTCAACGGCTGTCCTGCTGGGCCTGCTCTGATCTGCAACGTCTCACCCCCATTATGCTGGCCCCTCCAGCAGCCCCGTGTTGAGCCAGTTGGCGTTGATATCGTCCAAATGCTGCTCGAAGTCAACCAGGGCCCTGTGGCGTCCCTCTGCCGCATACTGCATCAGAATGTAATGGGGCACCCGGCAAACAGGAGCGCCTGAGCGGGGTGAACAATCCTGATCGAGTTGCACAACAAATGAGCACATTGTGCCGACACGCACCTGCGCTAGCTGCGCTGCAACGCCCTGGGTGGGGCAGTGCAGCCTGGTCTTGCCATCGCTGGCCGACGCCCGCACCCAGCCACGCATCCCGTCTTTCACAAACAGCGCCAGCACCGGCTCCTCCTCAACTTGCTGCTTTCCTGCCTGATCCTGCTGTTGCTGCGCAACAGCCGCCTGCAGTGCCGTGTCCATCACGGTGCTGTCCAGCTGAAGGCAGCAGAGATAGGGTGGCAGAGCAAAAAGCGAAAGCAGCAGAGGTGTCGCTTCAGCCTGGGATTCACATGGTGCCACACTGACAGGGCATTGTGCTATCGCAGGCTGTTGCTGCCCCGCCACTGGTTCTCACCTTCCGCTCACCCCCGAGCAACTCACCACGACAGCCACAGAGTCGGGGAACGCGGCCTCAATCCGGTCGGCCACTCGCCGTCCACCCCCCAGCTCGCTGTCACCCAGCCGCTCGTTGCACTGGTAGTAGCCAACGATGCGCAGTCCCAAAGGGCAAGTCGAGCCTGCCTGCTCATGAACATACCCTTCAATCTGCGGCTTGAAAGGGCGAGACGGTCTGCAGCCATTGCCTGGGCGGCGGTGCCCGCCGAGGTGCTGGCTGGGCTGGCTTGGCCTGGTCGCTTCCATACACCCCAGATTGATCTCTGGCAGCACCACCTCAACCCACCTGTGACAGGGCCATCTCCAGCACGGGGGTGAGAGTGACGAAGCCGTGGCCGACGGGAACGGCGTCCACCACTCGCACCGCCGTGGCCGGCCCGGCGCCGGTGGCCGTCCCGACGCTCACAGTGCCCAGCAGGACGCCATTGACACCGGCCGTGTGTTTCAAGGAGTGGAGCAATATCTTGTAGAGCGCTGCAGGTTCAACCGAGCAATTCTTCGTCATTGTGTCATTGTAAGAGCTGCACAGCTCGCACCGGGATGCTGCTCTCTTGCAAGCAGGCAGTACGCCTATTGTTCCGCCCCTTTGCGCGCTGCAGAAGATCGTCATTACCAGCGCCCTGCCGAACGGTGCAACGTTGCACAGAGCGCTGTGCTATACCGCGAGGGGCCCGATCCAGTTATATGGCTCAGCTCGTGTTGAACGCACCACCCAGGTACGTGGCAGAGGAGCAGGCGAGGAGGCACGCTAGGAGAAGCCCTTCCCCGTGCCCCGCCCGCCCCGCCTCCGCCGCCCCGCCCCCGCCCCCCTTCCCCGCTCGTTGCTGCCACGCCTGGCAACCTACCTCCCTGCCCTCCTTCCACTTTTGCCCGAAAGCCTGGCTGCAGTCAAAGAGCAGCATCAAAACACACCTGAACAAGATGGACAGCCCTGCGGAGAGCGGCCAGCTGCTGCACTCGCTGAACGCTGTCGTTAACTTCCTGCACACCGAGGGCTTCTTTGCTGCAGGTGGGCATAGCAGAGGGACTGACCAGAGCTGCCTGGGCGGTATCTGGGTGCAGGAGGCTGTGGCGTATCTGGGTACACAGGGCATGAGAAGGAGCTGCGGTGGTGCTCAGCCTTGTGAACCCTTGATTCTGTTTGCATCCTCCACGCCATGCAGAGGAGACGCTGTTGCGCGAGATAGAGAACCGGTACCCCGCCCCTGATGCCATCAGCCCACGTGGTGTCAGTGCCTCCCCGGGCGGCAGTAGCGGCGACGGCGTTGACGCTGCCTTAGCCACCGATGGGCGGCACTCTGCTGGCGATAGTGCTGGTGCAGCGTGCGGCTCCCTGGGCGGCGTTGCCAGCTCTGGGGCCAATGATGTAGAGACTGTCGACTTCCAGCCGGCGCTGGCGGCAGCAGCGGCGCACACTCCTCTGCTGCCTGTTGACAGCATGGACAGCGCCGAAAAGTGAGCTTTCGAAGCGGGTGCAAAAGGGGGAAGGGCAGCAGAGCCTTTTGATGTGGATCGCACTGTCTATAGGCAGCGGCATGTTCTGCCTGGATCAACCGCTGCAGCTGTCCATGTCTGTTTCAATCCGCCACTCTGCCGCCCAACTGGTGCAATGCAGAGTGTTGGAGGCGTGGCGCAGCAAGAGCACCACGCCTGCTGCCTCGCCCAAGAAGGCAACCGCGCTGTCACCACCCTCGTCGCCACCCTCTGCCCCCAAGCCCTGGCCAGCCTATGGTGGGTCAGTGGGTTTGGGGCAGCCGTTCATCATATTTCAACTAACTAGTGCATGCCAGTGTCAAATCCGGCCCCACCTGACCTCGCCACTGCTAGAATCTCACTTGCTGCGCGCATGCTGCGCGCGGAACAGAGCGTTTGGCGATGCTGTCCTACCACTGTTGCACGATGCAGGCTTGCAGGACGGGGGCAGCAGCAGCGATGTGGATGAGTATGATGATGACGACGACCCCGGCTTCCTACGCCTGGACGTGGTGGGGCAGGAGGCGGCGCTTGGATGTGAGTGGCGCCTCTGCTTCCTAAAGCGTGCACGCGGGCAGTGCACCTTTGAAGCTTTTAGATCCCCACCCCACCCTACTACTGCCGGCCTCGCAGTTGAGCTGGGCCAGTTCAGCGAAGCGAGCGGGCAGCGCGACGTCGCATACTACCAGCCGCCGAAGGTGTGTGTGTGCATCTGTGCATCTTGTGTGTGGGATGATGCATGTATGCATGCTGCTGCTGGGCAGCTCAGCATCCCAACCCGGCCCTCCTCAAATTCCGCTGCAGGATGACCCCCACGAGCGGTGCACAGCAACATTGCATGCCCGCCATGCCTCTATCGACATGGGCCTGCTCAACAGGCAGTTGCATGGCGTCACCAGCTCGGCCTCCTCCTCACACCATGGGCACTCCAAACAGCAGCAGCGCCAACAGCAGCTGATGCTGCATGAGCCTGTGTCCAGCTCGGAGCACTGGCGTGGAGAGAGCGACGCAGCGCTGCTGCCGCCGGGTGTGCCAGGGCCGACAAGTGGGCAGGATGGCAGCAGCGAGGCGCTTACGTCTCCACCGCTTCCGCAGCATACACGAGTCGTCGAGGGGCCGTCTGCAACAACAGATGTGCAGCAGTCTGGCAGTCCCTGTGCCAGCAGTGATGGAGGCGGCAGCAGCTTCTTCAGTGGAGAGCTGGCGGGCAGCCCGGTGAAACGATCACCTGCAGGTGGGTCAGCTGGGTGGTTGGTGTTGGCAGGTCGTGCATGACTGGCCTATATCCTTGCCGTGCACACATATGAGTGTGTGTGTGTTGTGCGTGTGTGTGAGAGAAGAGAAGGCAGCTGCAAGATGTTGTTGGAATCATGCGCTCCCTCGCTGCTTGAACGGCCACATGACGTAGGCCACAAGCGTAGCAGCAGCTACGCGCAACGCCAGGCGGGCACTGCACAGTGGGTGTTCGACCGTGCCAACAGTGCGGACGCAGGTGCGTACATCGTTGCCCATTCTTGACTGGTGTACTACTCCTCTGCTCAAGGTCATTTTGGGCCACGGTCTGGCGCGCACAGCCGCAGATGCTGATCGGTTGTTGGCCCAATTGCTTGGCTCTATTGCCAAGGTTGTGACGGATCAGGGTATGCCGTTGCTCTTTCCTCCTTTGCTCTCTCCTACAGACGCCTACCGCTCCCTGCTAAACCACTTGGATCGCCCTGCGGCTGGCCAGGTGAGCAGGCCTTCCAGCTTGTCCCTTTTTGCTGCTGGGTGCCAAGTTCCTGCCATGGGGAACTCAAGATGCCTTGTTGAGCACGGAGGGACATGCGCTGTGGCTTCAAAACATTGGCCCCTCAGCCCTCATAAAACAAGGTTTGCTGGCTGACGACCTGCCTGTCCATTTACAACCCGCTTGGCTGCGGCCGCAGCACACAACTTTAGCACCACAGGAGCAGCGGCGGCGGCGGCGGCAGCCTGCGCTCTTGCCGCCTCCCGCTCTGGCACGCAAGCAAATAGCAGAGCGGCACGTTGCTACTGGTGACAGCAAGGCAGTGGTGGAGGTGGAGGTGGAAACCGGCTCCCTTCTGTTCCATCAAGAAAGCATTAGCCGGGTGTCTTCGTTGGGCGAGTCCATGCTGCAAGAGGCTGTGGCCCTCAGCCTGTGCGATGCAGCACAGGAGGCGCAACAGGGCGGGGAACAAGAGCTGGCTGCCGATGCCGGCATGCAGCAGCAGCAGCAACAGCCCCAACAGCAGCCCCCGCAGCAGCTCCACCAGCAGCAGCAGTTAGATAGACATGGCTATGAGACAGTGGAGCTGGTGGCCAGCCACAGCCCGCGCCGGCGGCTAGAGCAACCGCTACCAGCGCTGCGCACGGTGGGCGGGCGGGGCCATATGGACGGCCTGCCACAGTTGCACAGCCCGTCAACGGTCGCAGACACAACAGGTGGACCAACAGCTTCCTTAAGCAGCTTGTCCATTCTGCAGTGTGCAGAGTCTTTTAGCCTGTTGCCACCAGCAGTTGCCTTCGCCCTTTTTTTCGATGACCTGTGGCAGTTCTGCTGGCTCCTACTGTGGTATGTTTGCTGCTGGCAGTATATTCATCCACCCTATTTGCACCCTGTTGCAGGGGCGCTTCGTGGTAGCGAGTGTGACTGCAGCTCCCCACACGGCAGTTCTGCCCACACCCCCGACGGTGCCTCGATCATCATAGACTATTCGGGTGGGAGTCATGGCAAAGCGCTAATCACTCTTGCCCCATCTTTGCATGCGGGTGTGGGTTCTGCGTCAGCGCTAAGCAGGTACTCTAGATTGCCAGGTCATGTTGCTGCATGCCCCTGCTGGGTCTGGCTCAATTCTGGCCTCGCATCCGCTTTGTTGTCGCCATCACCGCAGATCCATTCAGCTTCCCAGTGACACCGCCATCCGAAGTGGCGCCGGTCCCTGACCCCGCACCGCTCTTTGGCAGCTGGACCTCGTTCAAGAGTAGCCCAGACCGAAAGGTGCGACCCCTCTGAGTATGGGGGGTGGGCACCCGGGGTTTACATAGGCTGGCAGCAGGTTGGCTGACTGTGAGCCGCGCGATTGTAACCAACAGGCACTACGGCTTGGCCCAGCCCCTCCCGACCCAGGCTTAACTGCCTGCTATTAATTGCCACGCCCATTCGCTTGCCGGGCTATATGTTGGCGACTGTAGCGTGTCTTACACTTGACCAACACCATCACTGGTGCTGCCTCAACCCTGCCCCTGCCATACAGAGCGGCGGCCTGGGTGGGTATGGAACTGAGGATGAGAGTACGCCCGCACGGCGGCGCTACCAGCAGCAGGCCGCGGTGGCGGCAGCAGCGGCAGCGGCCGCCGCCAAGGAGGCGTGCGGCAACGGTGGCGGCGTGCAGCGCAGCATCAAGTTCCCACCTCTGGGGGCGGGCACGGGGCTGGGCGGCGGCGGCCTGCAGGGCTATGGCAGCTCTAGCCAGGTGGGTAGCAGGTGGTTGTGCTGGCTTGCCGTTGTTATGATGCTTGCGGCGTCCCTGCACCCCTGCTGCCCATCCATCCGCCCTTACACCACCCTGCCTTCAGCTGCTGACCTACGCCACGCCTGCACGGGCACTTGTGGAGGAGGGGCTTGGGAGCGGCGCCGAGTTTGACCAAGACTACTTTGACAGGTAGAGTGTGTGAGTTGGGATCAAATGGACAGCATGTTTTACGGCGACGGCAGCACGTCCGGCATGCTTCATAGGCCCAGGCAGGCAGGCAGGCAGGCAGGCAGGCAGGCAGGCAGGCACACAAGTGCCTTGCACATAACATGTGCCCTATCTGCCCGAACCCTGCAGCAGGTACGAGGTGCTGAACCTGAAGGTCATCCATCGCCGCCACTGCACCGGATTTGAACAGGCGCGCGAGCTGCCGCTGCACATTGATGACCTCATTGCGGGCCGCTACCAGGTGCGGGGAAGGAGTGGAATGGTCAAGCGCATTGAGTGTGCTTTGGCGGGCTCCTTCTGCAGGTTCACAGGCACTTGCCCTGACTTACCTCCCTTTCTCACCCTATGTTTGCCGTGCCCACCAATGCCGAGCTATCCGTTCATCAGTACCGCACTTTCGTACTCCGTTAACCGCCCCTGCAGATTGTAGATTTGCTGGGCCAGGCCGCCTTCAGCCGCGCGGTGCAGGCACTAGACTTGAAAACTGGTGCCCTGGTCTGCCTGAAAATTATAAAGGTGAGGCGGGCACAGATGTTGCAAGGTAAGGGCAGTGCGGCCGCTCCCTCCTTGGCTGCCTACTCAGCGGAGATGTTTGACAGGGCATTTCCAGGGATTACTGCTCCACATCCCATCGATGGTCTTAACCTTTCCTGCCACCCCCCCCCCACCCCCCCCCCACCCGCAGAACAACAAAGACTACTTTGACCAGGGGCTGGACGAGGTGAAGCTGCTGCAGTATGTCAATGCAGCAGACCCGCAGGATGAGGCAGGCCTGCTGCGCCTGCACGACTTCTTCTACTTCAAGGTGAGGCGGGGTGGGCGATTGGGTGTCGGTGAGGTGGTCGCGCCTGGTGCATGCACTGCAGACGGGCGACACCGTTTGTTGCATTGATCTTTCACAGGCGTGCACGCCCCCCCGCCCCCCCCCACTCCCTGCGCCCCACAGGAGCACCTGGTTCTGGTGACGGAGCTGCTGCGTGCCAACTTGTACGAGTTCCAAAAGTACAACCGAGAGAGCGGGGACGAGCCATACTTCACACTGCCGCGCATACAGTCCATCGCGCGCCAGGTGCGCAGGCATGCAGTATGTGCCGTGGTCTAGACTGTGGGCATGCACCTGAGCCGGGCAAGTACATGGCGACTGGCTGGCCTTCGTAACAGCTGGCCGACCTATTGTCTGTGCTCAGCTGGCTACGCAGTTGCCACACAGATCCCTTCTCCCACTGCTCTGCAGGTACTGACATCGCTTGCGTTTCTGCACTCACTGGGCCTGGTGCATGCCGACCTGAAGCCTGAGAACATCCTGGTGAAGAGCTACAGCCAGTGCCGGGTGAAAGTGATTGACCTGGGCTCCTCCTGCTTCCTCACAGACCACCTGAGCTCATACGTGCAGGTGGTCGGGCTTCCTGTGTGTGTGTGGGGGGGGGGGGGGGGGCGGACCA